GCCCACATCAAAAATAAAACACACGAGCTGTACAGTGTTCTTTGCTAAATATAAACATCCTAACATTGATAAGCTTTACAGAAAAAGAAACCTTTGATTGCCATACATTATTACCATCACCAGTATTTTAAGAGCACCCTCTACAGTCACAAAACACTAACCAAGAAAAGCTTTTCTTCCTAAAGAAAGCAGCATTAACTGAAATACCCTAAATATTCTGGGCTGATTCATAATTAGGCTGGAAGCTTCTTCTCTTAGAACTATGGATGGTTGTGGGATCCGAAGTGGAAACCCATACTGTTTATTTTCAAAGAAAAGCAAGGAACAAACCATGGTAAAGGCCAGAATGAACCAGTTTCCCTGAGTTCATCTAATTTGTTTGTTGATGGTTTTAGATTCCAAAGTACCTTTTGTAAGAGTTGTGAAAAATTTAAGAGTTGTGAAGTACTTAGTTCACAAGTGGAACTCAAAAATTTAAAACCCCTTAATTTTCAGTGAAATGCTTCTTACACACGTGTACATTCCAGTCTGCAAACAGCAAAACGTCTTGCTTGATTTGGGGGGTTTGGTTAAAATTTCCCATAAAACACACAAGAATTCCTTCCTGGAGCTTCAAAGTGAGGAGAGACCTTCACACACTACTGCTTTTCAGCAACCTCTCAGCTTCATGCAGACCCTTTCTATTGACCCCTGACATGATGCATCTGACACTGTGGGAGAATAATTCGTTGTTATTGCAGCATAACTTCTTTTTTAATAGGCTAAAAGTCTTTCTTCTGTTGCTTATTTATTTTTTAAATATACAATGGATATATTTTTTTCAGATAGAAGAGAGTTGACTTTATTCTGCTATGGTTTACACCCTGCAAATGAGTAAAAAAGTTCCATATCTGTTTGCTACCATTTCTTTTCCCCCTGAAAAAGAAAAAGCAAAGGATTTCCAGGTAACTCATTCGTTTTCCATCCCTCTTCCTGGTATGTTCAGCCCTGAATAATTTTCCATGTTTAATTAATGAATAACTGTTTGTCACATTGAAATGAATAGGCTTGAAGAAGGCATTTTAAGTTAAACACATGCTTAAGCAGCTTTCTGCATCAGTCCTGACCAAACAAACCTATAAAGGCTGGAAATTCCAATCCCATAAAACCTGTCCTTCTTAACTTGTCTTTCTGGGTCTTGTCTAGACTTGCAAAGATACAGTTATTTTGTTAAGTCTTCAGTTCATCAGTAGTTAAGATACTGCAGGTGAATCAGGAGTGATGCTTTATCTTTAAAGGTGAAGGTTCAACACCTTTAAGTTGAATCCTAAAGTTTCCTATATTCTTATATAATATTCTTAACATTACTGAAATGTTTATATCTCTTCGAAAATATTGCTTCACAGAACGATTTAAATGGGACTACTTCGCCTGACTAAAAAAAGTGTCTAGAAATAAAAACAAATGTAAAAATATTAAAGATAATCCTTTTTTCCTGGTCTTTACTTTCAAGCTAGATGTTTGTCAGAGGACCAAACTGTTAAAATTACTGTAGCCACCAAGTGGTGCTATTGCACCACAGCATAAAAGTGGCCACACGCTCAAATTCATTCCAGAGAAAGGGTTTGAATCGGGTACTGCTTTAGACTTCCACAAATATTTCTTTTTTTTGTCCAAAGTAGAAAAAAACCCAAAACATTAATAAATAGGAGATCCATGTATGTCCGTAAGAAAAAAAAAGTTAATTTTTACATGGGATTGTGATGATTTTATCTCTGTTCCAGAAGTTTATGCTTGGATTTAGACCCAGGTAATTCAACATTTCACCTCTCCAATGAAATAATTTTATTTCAGTGGGAATCAGGAGCCTAAATTCCTTCCTGGCAATCGGCCTTAGTTCTCAGCAAAGACACACATGTTTTTAAGGAAACTGAATATCAGATGCAATACCTGCAAATCCTCATGTGACAGAAAGGATTAATTGATACAGTAAACTAAATAAAAATTTGTCCTGCTATACTTTTAATCAACAGTAGATTTTAAAACATGAAAAATAACAATTTTGGTCTTCTGTGATGTCTTCCTTGATACACTAGGTATGTGTTAAATTGCCTGCATACCCTAAACCAAGATTATGTTTCATATACATTATAAACAAAAGAAAGCTAATTAAATAAAGGTAAACCAAGATTTTAAATTAATATTTCTGAGAGATACAGAATATATTCTGCCTTCAGGACTCAACCCTTGGATGCCAATCTTAAGAACGTAGACCTTAATTTTCCAAATACTTATGTGTTAGGTTAAACTTTAAATATATCAATAACATGTACATTTGCTTACTGTTACACATGGATGTTATTTCAGGATAAGAGACAGGATTATTAAATTACTCAGAAAGTCTCTGTATTATCTTGCCCTGATACATGGTTTTGGTTTCAACACAGCATTTTCTGTACTATTTTTGTGATTAAAAAGATTAGAAAGCATTGTCTGGTATAGATCTATATGTGCATGGAGCTCTACAATGTTCTAATACTGAGGGCATTATTAAAAACTAGAAAAAAGTAGTAGTTCTTAAGAGCTATGTGCATAAAGAACATAGAAGCCATTTCATTTACTACATTACTATTTCTGTGATAAATGACTGAGTTTAAATCTGCAATGACTGCAACAATGCACCCTTTAATCTTTCTTCAAATAAATACATTGACAATGCCAACAAATCACTAACTTTATGTTTTTGTGGAAATAGAGGCTGGGACTATGCTACCCTTAAAACATCAGTTTGTTCCTGCAGACAGGGCACAGCCAAATCCCAGGAGAATGGACTTCCCAAGGAGAGCCACATGGACCACAGCAGAGCAGGTAACAGCTACAATGGGACCTGGAAGTTTAATGTAGATGCACTTGGTAGTACCTAGGATTTCTGCAGGCTCTTCTTGGAAAAAACCTCCTTTTGTCATTGCTAAGATTACTTGAATAAGACTAGTGGGAGCAAGACTGTGTCATTAAGGTGAGGGAAGAAACGTGGATACAGCCAAAAGTTGTCCAAGGAGAAGAATGGGAGCTCAGAAAGCCTTGCCATGGTTAGTTATAGAACAGTGTCCAAAATCTTTAACTAAAGTTCATATCAAGATTAATTATTCAATTAATTACTAGACAATGTATTATTTGTTAAATGAATATTGAAAGTATCATATTATTTGTGATCAAACTTTGTGTTGTGTACATTTTCCCCTCAACAGCTGTTAAAGTCAGTGGTACCTTCTCTTCATCTCACTTTGCACCTTTGAATATTGTATCTTACTCTTGATTTCTACAAAAGTAAGGTTAATAATCGTACCATTACATTCAGCAGGAGGAGTATCTGTAAACTTGAGCTCACTAAAATGAATTTAAATTCTACAGAAGTTTCAATTTAAATCTTCATCTCCTAACTCTTTCCTTATCATGCATTAGCTCGTATAAAGTAAACCCCAGGTATTTTCCACTGTTGAAGAAAATATGAATCTCTTGGTTTACAATTCAGTCTGTCCCTTTATACATTTTATTTGCCATGCCTTACTCTCCTGCCATGTCAATATGTTCTGGAATATATGGCTAGGCCTGATGGGGGGGATTATTCAGGCTGGTTTAGAGCACATTGTGTGCTTGGGTTAGAGACAGAGGGAACCCCGTGCCCTGGGTTCTGTCAGCAGTACCCAGGGTTTGACAGCTGGACATGGGAGAAGTGTAAAAGATGGGCTACCCCCAAAAAGAAAGAAAGAGGGAGGGAGGAAGAGACAGAGGAGAGAAAGAGAGAGGAGAGAGAGAAAAACCACTGTGAAAAGATGGGGAAAAATACAAGCAAGGTGGAAAATGAAGGGCCTCCTTTTTTGGTTAGTTGTCTTTTGAGGAACAACCAGAGATCACACATTAAAAAGCATCTGATAAGAGTGTACAATGACATTTCTTCAAATACCCCATATCTCTCTCTGAAAGTAAATTTTTACCACAGTAAATTTAATATTTAAAATAGAACTGTTCCTTGGTGTTCTGGGATAGCCAAAGTGGTCTGGTTTTTATAAAAGGGTACTTTCCCATGCTCATATAACTCTAAAGTGCTTTACATTTATTAAAATGGTTGCGATACAGATCCAATTTTACAGATATAATTTTAGAATCAACTCTGTAAATAGTCTGCTTAAGACAAAATGTTTTGAGAAACAAGTCAGTAAAAATAACAGTAGAGACTAGAAAGAAAACCTGAATTTTGAAGGTTGCTTCTTGAAAGAAGAAATAGATAAAAATGTCTGTTCAACAGCTTACTGAATACAGTAATAACAGGGATAACCATTATTTCTTAAGCAAGAGACATCTATAATCTTTTATAATAAAGAAAATTTGCAACATGTATTGTAAAACATGAGTCAGAAGCAGTGTTTCAATGAAATTATATACCTTGAGAAAGACTTTTTTTTTTCCTACTTTCCACTGTGATTATTGGATTAGATCCTTTCCTGAAAGGAAATCAGGGACTATAATAAAGTGTCAAAATTCAATTTAACGTGTAGTGGAATAGCAGAGAGAGAGAGATGCATCTTGCTAGGAGCCAAGCGCTGCACTAAGAGGCCAAGCTTTCACCACAGTCTAACTCAGTGCAAGGGGAGAGCTGAATTTAGGAGTGCTGTTCAGTTCCCGAGGTGTGCTGGAGCAGCTGGAATTAATCTACAGCACAAACTGCTGGGCATTACTGTTTGGTTTTGCTTTAGCTGCAAACTCCATTTTGTATTGTCTTTCCCAACTGCCTGATAATACACTGCCTGGACAGAGAAACATTAATCACAGTGTCGAGCCAGTCTTGGAAACAAGGACCAAAACCTTAATTTACAGGCGAGGAAAAGAAAAATAAGTGGATGAGGGGTGGGAAAGGAAATGCAGCCTGCACTGAGATGATATTCTGTGTATGACCTAACTCTGTCCTCAGTGCAATTTTAGCTTATTGCTGGGTTTGTATACATTCCTGCAAAAATTCTTACCTCACTGGATAACCTTGTACTCCTGCAGTATTCCAGCTGGACTGTGGCTCTTAGGGAACAGTCCTCCTGTTTGTAGCATTAGTACATCAAGTACTTGTAAAACTCAGGTTCAGAACGTACCAAAGATCTGTAAGAAACGGTTTGACAAAATGTTTGATTTAAACTACAGTTTTAATGAAAAATTAAATGTTCAAAGGCTCAAAGTAAACTTTCCTCTATCCAAGTGTAGGATAGAGCTTTGAGTCAAAATCCAGTCAAAATTCTCCTTTCCAGTCTCGGATGCTCACAGCCAATACAAGAGTTTTAGCAATTGTGCTGGTCCCACATTTTCCCCTTCCTTCCCCCTTTAATTAAAAAAAAAAAAAAAAGTAAATGAAAGTTAAAAAAAAAGAAAGAAAAATGCCCTGGCTTAATTACCATATGAAACATTTTTTCTGAAACTCAACACCAAGCAAAAGAACAGTTTTCTGAGCAATTTAATGCTGAGTATACCAGATAGCAACTGAATTGTCTCTCGAGCTGTTATCTGAGAGGTACATCATGAAAAAAAATAATTATAGGCTATATAATAATTACCAGTAGTCATCATAGCCTGGTTGTTTTAGCAAGAATTGAATCTTATTTTTTTTCTGGTTTGTTTCTAAATGCAATGGAAATGTATTACTGTACAGCATCACTTATTAACACTGTTTTAATTAATCTCTAACAATAACCTGAAAATTACAGGTGTATACACCTCTTTAATGAAGCATTTTGTTTTCTATTTAGTGCAATTCCTTCACATGTTACAAAACTACAATATGAGGCTGAACAAAGTGTCAGCATGTTTCTTAACACTTTAATTGGAATAAAATACAGTCATATATACAAATGTCTGTGAGTTCAACTGAAACTTTGCCACATAACTCACGTAGTAACTGAGAAAAAAAAAGTTTAATTACTTTATTTTCCATTCGTTGTTTCCCAGTTTTATCAGTTGGGGGGGTATGACCTTCATGTGCTTTCTGAAAACTACAGTGAGAGGAGCTAAGCAAACTTTCACTTAAACATTACACATTTTTACTTAACTTACATCTTTTACTTAAACAGCTCCAAGACTAGTTATGGACTGCTTATGTGAAAAAATGCATATGAAAAGCAAATGTTAAATGTCAAAGTATATAAAAAATCAAGATGGCAGCACAAGTTTGGGCTGTTCTGTCTCATGAATGTTTTTTTGACAAGACAAGTCATTACCAAGGGCCAGAAAAATCCGCACATCTATGACTTTCCTCCCAACAACCATTTTGAGGGAGAATCAACTTAATACATTACATAGAGGTGCATATTTCCACAACAGAAGTCTTTATAGACCGTCACACCTAATACTTCCCTCCTGTTAGCAAACATATGCCATATGTCTGCAAACAACTCACTGGTTTCCTCTCTAGAACTGTTTATAATTTGTCCAATTCCCACAGTTTAGAGTTCTTTCTACTGCTTAACCATCAGTATAGTATTTTATCACAAGCAATTGCTGTCAGGCACTCTTCTCTGTCTCTCTGTTTTGCTTTTGACTGTTTCTTGCAGCAGTCAATAGATCCTTATGAAATACTGACTTGGAATACTACTGAAATACATGTCCTTAAAATTCTTAGAATGCACTTAGTTTTCTGATGTATTTTTTCCCAGCATAGAACCCAAAACTGGATACAGTGCCCCAGCAGTGTTAATATTGATGTTTTATTTGGAACAGCTCCTTATCTAGTCAGACCTCTTCTGTTTATACATTCTAACTAAGACAGGGGCATTCTTTACAGAATATCTATAAAATTATATACAATTCCATATATATACATACACACACGTGTTTGCTAATTGGGCTTGTTTTGACAGACATGTAGCAGGTAGCAGAGCAGCTCTGACAGAAATTTGAGCAGTGACCTCCAGCGCTACCAGCTTTGAAAAGAGGATGTTTGCCTATCCCTACTCCTCGTATAGAACATCTCTGATATGGCTTTCATGGGTCATATATTAAATTCTTCCTTCTCATGTTCACTGCATTTTTCTGTTGTAGATAGGGATCTATCATATTTTGTTGTGTTTGTTTCCCTGTACATACACTGTAACCTTTTTTCTGACAGTGCCCTTTGGTTTATGTGGTTCAGAGCTTGAGAACAGATTTGTGAGCATGGAAAAAAATTATATGAGGCCCAATTCTTGTGACGTGGTTGTAGACACTGTATTTTTTTTTGGATAACACTTGTAAACCACAAGTCCTTAGCACCTTCCTTTCCTTCTCTCATGGATAAGGGGAGAGAGATGCTGCAGTACGGCAGCACTTCAGTTCTCACTACACGTGTAGAATATTTTTGAATCACCTTGTGATATTTCCAGTCTAGCTGAAGACACTGTGGAAATCACCCAGAGTGCTGAAGGCAGCCTAGGTGTGCCCAGGGGTGCCCGTGACGCCGCTCTGGGAGCACTGCCCCGTTCGCTCCAGCCGGGCTCCCTCAGCGCTTCCCTCACCTTCACCTCCTCCTCCTCCTCCTCCTCCTCCTCACGGCCAGCGCCGCGCCCGCCCTGCCCCGTCCCTGTGCTGCCTCAGCCCTTCCCGCCGCGGCGGGAACCCCGCCAGCCGCCTCCGCACGGCGAGGGAAAACAAACCCGGCTGTCAGGCGGCCTCCACCGACAGCGCGCGGGTTTCTTCCTCGGCGGGTTGTTGCGGTCACCCCGCTCCGTCCCGGCGCGGTTCGCCGCAGCCCGAGCTGAGGAGGCGCGGGGCGCCCTCCCCTCCCTTTGCGGGCTATAGGTGTCTGTCGGGGAGGTCCCGGCGCGCCGCACTCCCACTCACGCAAAGAAAAGGCCGCGGGCGGGCAACAAAGCAAGAGGAAGCCCCGGACTCACCTGCGGGAGTGTCCCCCGCCTGGCTCCTCCCCGGCCCGGCCCCGGCGCCCCCTCCCCCGCTGGAGGGGCGGGCAGTCCGCTCTCGGCTCCGGCGGCGAGCGCGGCTGGCGGGGAGAGTGGCACGGAGTTGGTGCGGATCTCCCTGAGGGAGAGCGAGAGACGCGGCCCGGGACGGGTGAGGAGAGCGGCGGCGGGCGGTCTGGGGGCTGAGGGGGGCACGGCGTCGCCCGGCTCTCCCCGCCGGGGCCGGGCGGGCACGGGGCTGTGACGGGAGCGCGGCGGGCACGGGGTCGGTGGCCGCGCGGGACTGCCGCCCTCGGCTGTGGGGGCGGCTCCTGAGGCGCCCCGGATCGCTGCTTCCCTCTGCTCCGTTAAACACGCGCATTCCCAAAGGCCGAGGGCGCCGGGCCCTCCCGGGGGCGAGGAGGCACCAGCGCGGCTGTCCCCGCACGCCCGGAGAGCGGCTGGAGCAGCGCCGGGGCAGCGCTTCCCCCGGGCGCTCCTCGGGGCTGTGCTGGCGAAGCGGCGGCGGGGCCGCCCCGGGGCGGGCGGGCTGAGCGGCGGAGGGGAGAGGGCGCTGCGAGGAGAGCGGACTCCGGTAAGACCCGAGTCTGCCTTCGTTTCTACTGGGGGCTGTCAGGAGCGGGGTTCTCCCCCCGAGCGGCTGCCCCGGAGCCGCAGCTGGAGGTGCTGCTGCCCGCCCCGGGTTCCAGGTGGGCGGGCGCGGCCGGAGCCCCCGCGGGGCGCCAGGACCGCCTGCCCGCACGCATTCCTCCGGGGATTCCTGGCATTCCTGGGCTCAGGGCACTCTTGACTTCTTCATCTGCCTTTTATTCCGCAAATTAGCGTTTGTTTTTCTTTTTTTCTTTTTTTCTTTTATTTTTTTATTTTTTGCGAAAGGGTGTGTCCGCGTTGTGTGTGTTCCCTTCTTCATGGGAAAAGCTTAGAACGGCAGTTCTGCCATTTGTTCTTCTTCCCAATTAACTTTGCATCTGATATAATTTATATCCTTCCCATTTGATGACAACTTTATGGGGAGATCAGTGCTGCGATATAACTTTTGTGGTGAGTTTGCATGAACGTTTGCAGTTGACAGAAGAATAGTTGTTGCAGCTTTTATCTTTCTCCTGTTTTTAGCATGTAAGTATTTTTTTTTAAATTACTGCCATGTACATTGAATAATTGTCAAAATAGAAATAGTAGAAACCTATTCTTGAAAGTTGTTCTATTTTTCTGAACATCTACACTATGTTTAACTTGCTTGGACTCATAAAAGTGAATCCTGTAGGTGAATCAGAAAGCCCCTGGAATATCCTGATTTGTGGCACATCCGTGGGAATTTGATGGATTTGGTGTCTGACGCTTATGCTGACAACTGTCACGTCTCATAGTTATAAATCTCTTTCATAGCTGGCTTTAACAGAACTTTAAAACCTGTATAAAAATATAATTAAAATGGCAAAACCAAACCACTCTTTACTTTTTAAAGGTGCTTTGTAAGAACTTGTTTGACTTGCAATTATATTTTCTAGAAGTGTCAGTTGTTGAATTGTCTCGTTTTTTTTCTCATGTTAGACCCAGAATAAAACTGCTTATGCTCACAGTGTGTACTAAGCCAGATGTGGTTACTGCTGATTAATGTAAAAGCGTACCAAGTTGCTGTAAGCTTTTTTTTTAAAAAATAATTATAGTGTTAGTTTGAATTTGGGTCCTTTCTTTTGGAAAAATATTATAAATAGGAATGAAAGTTTTTCATACAGTATTGGAGCATACCATTAACAGTGTAATAAGCAGCATGTTTTACAAAGGAGATGAAGTTTGTCATGTAATGAAAGGCAATTACACTGCTTTTTAATGTATGTTATTCTTTTTGAGACACAGCTACACTTTTTAAACAGAAAACTCTGTAAAATAAGAAAGCAATGCTTCAAATTTTTATTAAAATTTTCTGAGGTTATTAAGATAATCTTTCACGTAAGAGGAGGTAATTGTTAGTAGCAGATAGTTTTCCAGTTTAATAGTCATGGGTATTTTTATAATTAAAATGAGATAAAAAATGCATTGCTTCAAATGAAGTATACTGCAAAGGGACTGATATTTTTATGTGTATGTATTTACAATTTAGAGGTGTTTCTGAAATATGTTAATCATAGGAAAAGTATTCCTAGTTGGTTTACATACACCTTGAGTTGCAGCTGACATTAACTGTTTCTAAATCCCACTACAATGCA